CACATCCCCAAAGCTTTTAATACCAGTAAAAGCATACCAGTAAAACATACTCCCAGACAGCGTTCACCCACGGCTGCTTAGCGCAGCCCGTCCTGTGTTATCTGTTGGTTCATACAAAGAGTCTGATGACTACCTCAAGTCTCTGAGGCAGGGGACAGCATGTAGACCTGAAACTCTCTGAGGTGGAAAGAGAAGCAGCTAGGCTACATGCAAAGAATTTCAAATTTACAAAACAAACCAAAACCCCCAAACCTCCTTACCTATGACGAAAAAAAAATATCTCCTATAATCACCCTTCTCAGATGACTGTTGGCTACCCTAAACCTCAGACAAAATTCACATGGGACTGCCAAAAGTGACTACTGTGGTCAAAAACACGTGGATAAAGTTCAATCTACCTCTTAACAAGGCTGGCCTAGAACTGATCCCTGGTTTTCCCAGCGAGGTTTGACAAGCACCGACATCCGCTCTGTAATCACAACCGGACCCAGTTATCTGCTTTACAGCCTCCACCACTCCTACTCTTCACTGGCAGCCTTTGGGAACTTTGATCCAAAGGATCCCACCTTGAGGTCTAACTCTTTGCAGCAAAGAATTCACATTGTTCTACATATTACAGAGCATGTATTTCATAAATTACTCCATAATCACATAGTGGTAAAAAAATCTTTTGCTCTCTTTAAAAAAGTGTCAACTTCTAAAACTTAATTTACTGTGATTACACAATGTAGAAGTACCATCAGGTTAAACTAGCTTTTAATATCCATGAGCTTTAAGGAAAATAAAATGCAGGATAAAAAAACCTTGCTTGCTAGAGAAAGCCGTTTTGATCATCTTCAGATTTGTACATTTAGATATCTAAGGGGATTTTGTTTACGAATTGCAGCTGAGGTACGTAGGAACTGTTAAGAAACATATACCTGTTTTCTTGGATATATAAAGCCAAGGGCCACACACACAAACCAGCCGTAACCTAGATAAGCATCAGCACAGAAACTCAGAGAGAAATTCTCTTTTATTTCTCCCGGAAGCAGAAACACCTCTTGCTGCAATCCCGGCGGCGAGCTCTCCAGCTGCCCTCCCTGCGTCACCCTGCGCACGGCCAGCGGGAAGGGGACGGAGCAGCCCCCACCCCAGCGGAGGTGGCCTTCGATTCCCTGAGCACCCAACCCTCAAGCACCAGGACTGCTCACGGGACGGTGCGGGAAACAGAACAGGCTACCCGTGCCTGCTCTGAGCAAATTGCTCTGCATTTGTCACCTCTCTTAAAACGCTCCTGTTCCAAAACTGCCGCTTCTGCTGTCAGTGTTACGGATATGCTGCAAACCTACGGTGATCCCTCTCCTCATAGGAGGTCTTGAAAAGGGTCACTAGAGAAATCCAGTTCTGAAAATACAGACTGTTTCCTGTATTTCTACCAGTTTAGTGTCTAGCAATTTATTCTTCCAATAAAATAACGTTTTTATAACTTGCTCTCTCCTTCCTTGTGCATTCTCATTCATTCTTGAATGGTTGACTGGGAAGAACATAGAAAAAGATGCAGGTCAGAATTGTACTTCCGAAAATAAGTGGCTTCCCAAAATTATTTCGCCATACAAAACAACTGCATTACTGATATAATTTCTTGTAACTTCAATAAACAGTGACACAAATAGTGTTGGGACTGCATGGATCCATCACTGATTGAAAACAAACAAAAGGTACACGGTTTTAATTATCGAGACTACAGAAATAACTCACCCTCAGAAAGAACGCCTTGGCAACCGAGAGATTGTCTTTAAAAAAGAATTGCTAAGATGCCTTCCGTACCAAAACAGGTGCTAAGTGACATTCTTACCAAACCGTCTGTTCGCCTGGTCCCTCGGGAGGTGCAAAGCACAGGGTGCCATGCCCTCTGCCAGTGCTGGGGAGCGCTGGCCAGGGAGGCCGTGGGACAACCACGAGCATCCCAGCGCTGCCCGGGCAGCGGGGAAGCATGGCCCAGCCCGGCGGTGGTCCGGGCAGCGAGGATGGGGAGTGTGCCCACCCCGCGGTGTGCAGTGAGGGCGAGGGGCGACGGGGGGCCCCGCCGAGCAAGAGCACCGGGCAGGGAGCGATGCTCGCAGCTTTGCTTCTACAGCACTAGAAAAACGCTGCACGCGTTTGACGCTAAATGGACTAATTACACTTTCATGTGAATTAACTATTTTAAAACGAGGGAGCTGTACTACTTATTTTACTTTGTGTTAACACTTAGAGGCTTTTACTGGAAAACCTCAGCAGTTAAAGGAGGCTTTATTCCTCATCTTTAGTAAAGACAATGAAAACTTAATGTGAGAACTGAGACTGGAACTTGGCTCGCTCAGTCTGCCACCTTATTCAATGAAAGAGGCTACGTGCTTTCTTCCCGAATATCTTAGCTCAAAATGAGACTTGCAAGTAAAAGTTTATCCTCAGTTCAACACAGGTAACCCCGTTTAGTCACGCTCCTGGCAGACCTCAAAACGTGGGTCGATACATAACGGGGCTGCACAGCTGAGGAAAAGCCCTGGGCAGCGTCACCGCAGCCCTGGGAGCCGGCGCAGGGTGTGTGCCGAGCGAGCGCTCCCACAGCACCCGCGACGCCCTCTCATTAGGAGATGCCTCCACCCAAACGCGCATCACATAAATCACCCTCGTCTTCTTGCAGCCAAGAAAATGCTGACTCAAAGCCATGAAAATTACTCCCATGCTCTAGCATTAATTATTAAAACAAGGAACGCTAGATGCTTTGGGCACGGTGCTGTCTTTGTAGCAAAGCAAGGAGGTAACTTTTGAAGCCCTCCTTGCCGGAGAACAGACAAAACTGGAGAAGCCTGGTGCTGAAAGGTGAATCAACACGTGCCAGCAGAAGGGAGCCGATGGCCATCTTGCCGTAAGAGGCTGGGAACTACAGCGCACAGCCAACTTTGGGTGCTGCAATGTACAGTAACTGAGAAGAGCTAAATTCAGACGGCTACAGAGCTGGAAGGAAAAAAACTGCTTTACTGATGCCCAAATTGCTTTATCCAGCTGACTGGAATTTGTATTTAAATAAATAGCCAGCTTCCAATAATTAGGATACCAATAGCAATTATTTTAATGTATAGTGAAATATATTTATGTTACAAATACCCAGTGAAGAAAAATTCAGGAGAAGCAGTGACAATGTGCAGTGAGACTCAAGATAAACAGCTCTACCCATCTTCTGCATACTCTTTTGAAAGTGTTTTCTTTCATAGTGATCCTACATTTCCCCTTTCAAGTTGCAATATCAGCCGAAAACAAAATAAACTCTGATTTGAAAGAGGCCTACAAAAGGCACATGAAATGAAAGAAGTTAATCATACAGCAAGAAGAATGAAAAAACAGATGTAACGCATGTTATTTCACCATCTAATTGCTTTGTTCCAGAGTTCAGTAGCGCTGTTAATGCTTCCTTTAGCAGCATCTCTTTACAAAACAGATACTCTCCCTCCCCTGTGAGATAAAAGTATTGTTTTAATCTTAAAGCTCTCATTTCATTTATGTAACCTATCCAGCTGCACAGACACTGAGTTTCAAACACAATCTTAGGCCTAGAAAACTGAACGTATTCCAGCTGAAACTCACTGGGAGGTAAACTTTAGAGTAATTCCACAATGTTTTAATAAGGTAGTTCTGAACATATTTTTGTTTACGTCCTAATAACGTTTAGTACTGGCTGAGTATCTGTCTTAACTGCCCGCAAACTCACCAAGTTACCTTCTCTGCAACCTTTAAGTCTGAAACAGTACAAATAAAATTTTTTTTTTTTTTAAATTGCCTTTGATTCTCCAAATCTGCAAACAGAAAGCACGAGGACCTTACAACAGCTCAAAATACAGAGTATAATTGAGGTACACATAAAAACTACTTGTCAGCTGCCCTACATAGACATCTACTGTATTTTCAGTGGCTACTACACCAGAAGCAGGCTGACTTGCTCTAAATGATTCCAAATTCCTGCTGAAGATACCTCATGCAGTACTTCACAGCAGATTGTAGGATCATTGAAAATGCATGTGGCTAAAATACTTTGTAATCTGGAGACCTAAGTGAGTGACACCCCAACAAAAAATAATACAGCCAGATATTTCATAGCTTAAAACTACTGCCAATTGAATTGGAGATTTATCACAACCAAGGAGGTTCAACCCACTGCAATCATATTCCAGATAAGGAGGAAACATATTTTTCTTGAAGTACAGCAAGATCATGACAAAAGTACAACGCATGAATAAAAAGTTAGAATCTGGGAAAAAAAAATAATCTAATCGAGCCAGAGGATTAACAAACACAAATCAGAAAGGAGTCAAGTAGATTAAGCATGGTGTACGACTACTGGTAAACAAATTCTGCTCCAGTCAACTGGACCGAAGGGAGATACCGTAAGCACGGGGAGAGCAAGGTTCCTCAGGAAAAGCCGTAACAGAGCTACGGCAAGCGTGGAATCTCCTAATGGCGTAAAAAGCTAGCTTTCCACGGTAACCATTGAGAAATACGAAAATATAGAAGGAAAAAATAAATAAATAAATAACAAGGTGAATACTTCTGACAGGGCGTAATCCTCAGCACCCCGCTCCAGCCCAGCAGTCCCCTGCCAGTGACGCTCGGGCTGCAGAACCCGAAACCCCCGATGCCAGCAACCCAAACCGCATCATTTCAACCCAGCAGCCCGTTTGCAAACTTTCCATCACCGGACCGCCTTTTCTAAAAAAAAAAAAAAAAAAAAAAAAAAAAAAAAGAGTTAAAACCGAGAAACGACTTTCCCACCACCCAGCGGGACCCCATCAGACCGCTCCAGCTCCGGGGATGCGGGGTACCGGGGGCTGTCGGCGACAACTTCACCGCACCGCCGGGGCATCTCCGAGCCGCCGCTGCCGCCCCGACCGTTCTCGGGGCGGCGGCGGCGGGGGGCCCGGGCCCCCGCGCCCCCCACACCCCCCCACCCCCCCCCCTCCGCGGCCGCCATCGCCTCCTACCTAAGCACCGCCGTGTCCCCCTTCCTGACCACCAGATTGTCCACGGTGGCCCCGGGGAAATCTCCACCCGGAGCGGCAAGTCTCCCGGGTGCCAGGAGCCAGCAGAGGCCGAGGAAGACGATCGCCAGCCACTGGTGGGAGCCCCCGGCGCTCCGCACCAGCGGTACCATCTCCGCGCCGCTCCTCGCCGCTCCTGGGCCCGGCGGCGGCCGAGCGTTTTCCCCGCGAACGCCGGCTCCCGCCTGGTACCCTCGGTCGCTGGCCGTCCGCGGAGCGTGGCTGCTCCCGGGCGGCCGCCGCAGCATCTAGCGAGGAGGGCAGCGCGCCCGCTCTGCGCGCCGCG